GCCGGCTGGGCGCGCGGGGCCACCCCACCCCTCTAGGGCAGGCCGCTGCCCTTCCCGCCGGCTTCCAGCTGGGGGAGACGGCGCTGGGCGTGCAGGCCGGGCAGGGCCCGAGGCCCGGTGCGCTGGGGAAGGCTCCCGGGCTGTGCCCGGAGGCCAGCGGAGGGGTCAGTGGGGAGCGGGCGTGCGGCTGCCGGTCTTGACTCGGCCCACGCCCTGACCCCTCTGGAATTATACCTACTGCAAACGCCAGGCCCGGAGGGAAACCCAGGCGCTGACCTCCGGCCCCGTCCCGAGTGTGACCCGCCTGTGCCTCCCTGCTGCCCTCCGCAGGCCCACCTGTCCGCTGCTGCCGGCGACCGGCTGGACCGGTGGGGACCGCACGCTGCACATCTCCACAGGACGGCTCCATGCAGCTGTGGGGCCTCCCGGGGCCCCGGTGGGGGGGCTGTTACCCAGCGTGGCCATGAGACGCCTGGGGAAGGCTCAGGCGCCCAGCAGTGGGCAGAAGCCGGGCTCCCGAGGCCCAGCTGCCCGCTCCTGTCCGCTGCCTGCGGTGCGGTGGGGCTGGGCCTCGGCGTCCGGCTGCCTGCCTGCACCCGCGGGGCCACGGCAGAACCCCGGGAGCAGCCGTGAGGATGCCCGCTGGGCTGCCCGTCCGTGCTCGTGTGACATGCGGGCAGCCCCCTGTCCATTGGGACGGGCCGTAACGCGGGTGGCCAGGAGGACGGCGCTCGGCCATGTGCGCGTCCCGAACGCTCCTGAGCGTGGAGGGAGGTGGGTGATGGCTTGGGGGTGGGGGTGGGGGCGCCGGCCCAGCCCCCCAGGCGCCCGCACGGGGCTCCCCCGGGATGCGCCTCCTTGGGCCTGATGGCCAGCGAGCCAGGGTCCCAAGGGTCCTGCCATGTCCTGCGACAGCCGCACCGCTCACCCCCGGTGTGCTTAACCCCGCCGTGTCGCTGCTTGCAGTGCAGGAGTGCGGGGGGGCGTCAAGGGCTCCCCCCTCCCCTCGCTGAAGGAGAGTGGCTTAAAGTCAAAAAGGACCCTCTGCGGGAGGCTGGGAGGCCCGTCAGATCCGGGCTGCTGTCTCCCCACGCAGCCCCTCTCCGTCCCCCTTGGGCCTGGCCGTCTGGCCGCCTGGTCACCTGGCCGCCTGGCCGCGCTGCCGGGAGGCCCGTTGTCTGCACTCTGCCTGCCCTCCAGTGTCGCCGTTGGGGCCCGTGACTTCAATCCAGCCTCGGCTCAGGGCCTTATACGAGCCAGCGTGGGGGTGTGCAACGCCTAACTGCGGGGGGCGGGGTCCACTGCACCTGCGTTTCCGGCCTCTGCCCGCCCGTGCGAGGACCCCGCTGCTGGACGGGGCCCGGGCTGGCGTCTGCCGGGTCTGTCTCGGGTGCAAAGGAGACCTGCAGGGAGGGGAGGGGGCAGGCGGGCCAGCAGGTGCCGCTGCCCTGCCGGGGCCTGGCAGGTAAGGCCGGGCCACCGCCCGGACTCAAGCTTCCTCCGTGGTTAGGGTCTCGGGGGTCTCGAGTTCATCCCAGGCGTCCGTGGGGATGGCGACCCTTCAGCGAAACGCTGCTTCCCCCGAGCTCCGACTGCAAAGCCCTGCGTCTCTGCCCCGCTCCCCAGGTGTGGGGAGCTGCTCCGGAGCCCGCGGGCGCAGCGGTGGGGCACACCCCTTCTCGGAATCGCTGCTCGCATCCAGGGCGTAGGCAGGTCAAGTGAACGCGAATAAACAGCTTGTGGCACCTCCCCGGCAGCGCGGCCACTGTGCAGTGTGGCTGTCTGTGGGTAAGGCTGCTGCAGAGGCAGGGCGTCTCCCCAACACCGCGCAGGGGCCAGGCGCTGGCTCCTGGCCACGTGGACGGCCTGGGGCGGGAGATGC